GGTTGATCTGACAACCGATCCATGCCACCAAACACAGGTGGGGCCTCGTTGAGGGTACAGGAACCGCTCCAAAGGACATCACCATTGATAAGCATCATAGGCTGATCTAAACGACACTCGATCATGTTCCGCAAAGTAACATTGCATTGCTGCTCAAACAGGGCGTTGCACTGGCGAGGTGTGATAGTTCGTGGCGCTTGACATATCTTGCACCAACGCAGCTCTTGTCCTCCAGCCAATAAGATCCACTTGTCAGGACTGATCGGTTCATAGGTCCCCTTAATGGCCAGAATCACATGGACTCCCAACAGCCTCTGGCATGCCTCCTGGTTGGCTTTAAAGAAGTGCAACCGTGAGTCTTGTGAATGAAAGGATGGGATGCTTCCCAATCGGTCCAGGTTGGCATCTCTGATCCATTCGAAAGTACCGTCTTGTTGAAGCAAAAGGACCTTGCCCACCCGCACCGGTTCAGGATCTTGACAAACATGTTCAAGCACATGGAAAAATCCTGCTTGCTGGGCCTCCTGCAGATGATCGAGTTCGGGGTCGTGGTCCTCAATCCCCCATGGCTGAGTGGGAGATACAATAGGATCGGCATCCTCAGCGTTGATCACAGCACGTACAACATGGAGTGTACACAACAGACGCGGTCCCATCTTGACTACAAGATCTCCACTTGGTAGCGCATCCCACAAAGTGTCTTGAGCAAGAGTTCGCTCCCCGACCACCAGCTGAAGGAGTGGCAGATGGTGACTTGCAAGGTCAAGGTGTTCAATAAGATGATCAACAAGTCTCGTCTGAGCGGGAACATTCACAGGGATAAGGCTCTGGTCATCGCCGAACCGGATCATAGTACTGCCAGCAAGCCAAGGCTGCCATGTGATAATGCTGGGATAAGCTTTGGCAATGAAGTCATCAAAAGGTTGAAGGACAAACATGTCACCGCATCTCCTAATCAAAGCTTTGTCAACCGTCAATCTGTCGTTCCAACATTGCTGCACTAGGGCCAGCTTAGGAGGAGTATCACCCAGGACTCCCTCAAAGCCGAAGAGGATAGCCACCAATGCATGGATTTGCGAGATAGCATTGCCCAATTGGTGGAAGGCCTTGCGGAGATCAGCAGGCAACCCAATCCACTCAGATGTTCCAAACAGCGCAACAAAGGTAAAAGGATCAACGAATCGGAAGCCTTCACCATCCCGAACCAGAGTAGCGAAAATCCCCTTGGCTTCCAAATGATCTCTTTGCAGTAAATGCTGTCCTGTGTAGGATGCACATAAAGTGGGGAGGTACTCCCCTTGTTGCAGGAGGCGTTGGTCCAAAACTTGGTTCATTGATGCTCCATCTCCAACTCGTGCACGCTTACTGGGTGGCAACAACTGTCGGTCCCCATAGATCTGAAGTTGCTCTGGTGTCAACTTGAGCGCTTCGGCCATGTCTGCAGGCAAGTGAAATTTGTGCTTGACATCATCCCACGACATACGCCTGGGAATAGAGCACAGGAATCTTTCATCCAGCTTGGGGCATGGAATATCTTGTCGAATCCAAACTGCCAGCCAGCGAGTCCGCTGATTACAGGTGAGTTGATGAATAGCCACATCCTGTGACCAGACTTTCTTGTAACCTCCAAGCTGCAGGGCTGCAGAAAGAACCCGCCAATGTGGGTGAAGCTCAATGCCGTCTGAGCATTCAAAAAGCGCCATGATAGGTCGAACTCTGGCGACATGTTGAATAGCATCAAGAAAGCAAAAGCCATCATCAGTGGCCAGGCCCGAGTTCCGTCCTCCTTTGCTCCAGCTAGGGCAAGGAGGTGAGAGGGACATGACCAGGTTGGCCTTATTGGATGTAGCTCTCAGTAGGGTAAGCTCTCCAACATCCGCGCAAATGCCACTGAAAGCATTGGTTGGGTTGTAGTCAACTCCAATGGGCCCATGCTGAAAGCCGCATCCATGATTATAGCTCCATGTCTTCATGACATCTTGGCTCCAATCAACACACGTGTGGGAAGCAAAGGAAAACCCAAGGTTCATCTGCTGGAGCCACCACATGGCCCTTAGCCATCCTTCGTAGGCCCCGGCAAATAGGTGGCTTGCATTCCAGGGCATATGTCTATCCAGTTGTGAGATGTTCCAGATAGGGACCGAGTGGTCTGCACAAATACGGCCTGCTTGAGGTCGGTGACAGGCCTTCACATATACCCCGATCAACATACCTTCAGTGAGGTCAACACGCTGATGAAGGTCAGGGCAGTGGAGGTCAAATTGCGACCATTCATCTCTCACAATCACATCTTGCAAAAGCATAGACATGCGGCGCACCTGGACATGGAGAGGGTCAGTGCTGACCAGCTCGGTCACTTCGCCAAAAAGAACCCAATGATCATCTTGAGCACACACATCACCTGTGGCAGCAATGGCATGCAACGCATCTCGAACTGAGGCACCGAGTGGTGCAGCCAGCCCCGAAGTGTATGAAGCTCTCTTTCGACCGTGAACCAACATCGCTCATCTTGTCCATCGTAACCATGCGATCTCAGGACCGGTGGGACCTGAGTCTGTCGACGCTCGACCCTTGCACTCGGTGCAAGAAGCCGAGCCCCGGCCCTCGCGCGTGGGCGTGAGCCACCCGGCGTTGAACCAGAATGGCTCAGGGGAGCCTCCTTGAAAAAGCATAAAGCGTGAACCATCCTGCGTCCAGTAGCTAGCAGCTTACTGAAGCTACTAGCCTCTCTTAATTAAGTAGCCGCCTATGGGTTTCTTTTCTTTCTTTTCTTTCTTTCTTTATTTCTTTCCTGTTGAAGCTCTCTGCTTGTCGGGTGAACTAACTGCAAAGGATGGCGCAGCCTTAGGCCAAAAGCGTTCAGACGAACAGGTCACCTCTGCGTCATAGTCAGGGAGCATGCTGCCGACGAAATCTCGAGCTGGCGAACCCATTGGGCCTGAGCTGACGACGGCGCACATGCCCTGGGAAAACTACGAATCAGCGACCAGTGGTTCGAATCAGCGACCACGAATCAGAGACCAGCCTTTATTTTCCGAATCAACGGCCTGGGTCACGAATCAGCGACCAGACTTCGTGAATCAGCGACGCTTTCGCGAAAGCGGAAAGCAGGTAGCAGTGATTCCGAATCAGCGACGAGGTATCAGTATTAACAGGGCTGAGCGTCTGTAGGGAATGGCGATTGGCCGGACAGTTGGTGACGCTAGGGGCTCTTACGGTAATCGTTAAGGTCCGGCTCCTCTCAAAGTACGTCTGACTCCCATGGTGGCCGCCACGGGCTTGGAGACAGGAAGTTTCCTTTTGACCAGGGGCACCAAGCAAGGCTCGCAACGCGAGACTCAATCATCTTCGAGCTGTTGGTGCAGAGGTTGCCCAATGTCGGACAAATGGCGGCGTCAAGGCTCAAAACAATGCTTGCAATGCACAGCCGCCGCATGTGGAAGTCATTGGCCCGATGCGCAGAACAAACGCACTAGGAATGTGGGGGAGTCATAGTTCTGCCAAGCCTCCGGCTCATCATGGCAGCGTGGCAGAAGCGTGTTGAAGTGGCCGTGCAATTTGTTCTCGTCCGCAAGGAGGAACGCGAGAAAGGCTGGCGGTCAGCAAGTAGGTCATCCCAAGAGGCCTGGGGTCAAGGAGACGACGAAGTCAATCGCCTTTGGAAGAGGGCGTATTCTCAGGGATGCGGTCTTTTTGTGCAGCTTTCTGCGGCAATCACCCTCCCGTCAGGTGTGAGGCGACCCCTGAAACTCTTTCCAAAAACCGCTGGATTGAAGTTCACGCAAGACCAGGCACTTGGCAAAGTTGTCACACCGCGCGTTTGGTTGCAAAGCGGCGGTGCCAAATGCTCATACCTCTAAACCACCACCCAGCTGGGCCACGGGCGCCATGACGCGCAGGAGGTGGTCGGAGAGCTTCATCCACAAAGGCAAGAACGTAGGATCTGGACACAAGTCCAGTCCCGCGCCTTGCGCCGGTTAAACCATCACTGGCGTAGAAGGGCACTGCGGGGCCTCGGGGAACTTTTGGAAGAAGCGGCCGCTCCCATTCTCCGCGGCGGCCTTGGCATTTAACCGCCAAGAACCAGCTAAGGGCCAATGTCTATGGGATGGAGGGCCATTGCCACCAGGCAAGCTCTGTGTCGGAGTGGGGTTGTGTGGCGCGCAAAGCACCAAGCAACACGCGCCAGGTGAATCAACGATGAAAGCGCGCGAGGTTCGGCCAAGATGACACGCGCGCTGTGAAGAAGAGGTCTTCCTCGATTGGCCTGTGAAGCAGAAAGCCAATGCCATTTCTTCCATGGCCCTTCCGTGGCCCCGCACGCTGGAAAACCAGGCGCGTTTCGAACTCGCGTTTGGCGTTTGCCCGTGGAGGAGCAAGTGTCCTGAACGAGAAAAAGCGACGCGGCGTGTAGGATTGGCGAAGCGCCTCCAAGTGCAGCCCTCTGAGCTTTGGGAGAAGGGAAAGAAGATGAGTGCTTCGGGTGAGAAAGAATGTGCATTTGCTCTCCATCCCACGGCCCGGCATCGGACCTTCGGCCTTTTCGACGTTTTGGTAGAGTCCAGTCGCTGTGCTGGTGGCAGGTCGCCTAGAATGGTCTACCCGTCGAATTCTTTTTTCGAGAAAATGTCGCCTTTCAAGGCACTTGGTGCAGCCCGACAGGCGCGAAACGAAAGCGAAAGCGAGCTGTGCTTTTTCAAACTTCACATCTTGAGGCGCACCGAGGCCGCGCAGGTGGCTTTGGAGCAGAGTTTGCGTAAAGCCCTCGAAGAACGCAAGGAGAGTGGAGAGGCCTTGTGCCTAAACAAAGATTAGCTTGAGTGCTTTTTGTTTCCGAAGTCCTGTGCGAGGAGTTTTTACGTGAAGTGGAAAGCCAATCTGCCCAATTAGAGGCGCTCTGCATGGAAGCCCTTTCATGCCTTTTTTGGCACTTGCAAAACGAAATCTTTGGAACCTTTTGGCTTCAAAATTCGTCGTGCTTCGTTTCGCACCGTTTTGCATGTGGCTCAAAGACCCAGCGGCTCTTGTGGCAGAATTGGCGGCGGTGGTGGCAGTGGCCGGCATCTTCCACGGCATGTTCCGCGCTGTTTCTCTGGCTAGGCTGCTGAAGAGTGTGAATGCCCCACTCATTCGTTGCTATAGCGGACCTGCCGGCCCTGTGCGTGAGCAAATTGCCTCTTCTGGATACCCAGACGCTTGACTTGCTGGTGTCCGTTTGGCATGAGTTCAGCTTGCCTAGCCACGATGAGAACGACATGTTTGAAATGTGAAGCTGGATGGGTAGAGGGAGGCATTAGGCATACACGTCATGGCGAAGTGACGTCGTCCGTTTCTGTTTCCAGTCGGAGCCGCCCACTTCTTTCTAAAAATCACGGAGTTCCCATACTCAGTGCCCTCCCTCCTGGGCGCGGGCTCAGAAGTGGTTGTCGTGCGCGGCTCGGTTCAGGATTGGGTTTTGCGGGAAGGGGCATGTGCGCCTTTCAGCAGAAACACCTGCGGCCAACCGCAAAAATTGCAGTTATAAGTCTTGAGTAGTGCGCAAGAACTTTGAGTTTTCACCAGGACCGAAAGAGCTGCCGCAGAGACCATGGAGCCAGATTAGAAGGTTAGTCCTTCTTTTGCATGCCCCATGGACAGACAAAGCAGAACCATCTCAGCGCAGCATCCACCCCTCACAGCAAATCCTTTCAGGGAATAGACAAGTTGGAGGCACCTTCGCCCTACACATGATGCTTTGACTGGATTTGGAATAAGCGCCGGCCACCATTTTTCAGCGCCTAATGGGGATCACTGTGCACAACCCTTCAGGTGTGGCACGGTGAATGCAACAACATGCGATGCGAGAAGCCTCAACCCATACCTGGTTCTCCATGGGCCGACACGAAGAGCTTTTCACATCCACATCATCCCAAACAGACACCAGGCTGAACACGGTGGCCTCAAACTTCACGAAGCACTTGACCTGGCAAATCCTGCCTAATGAAGTACCGTCCATGATCTCCACCACGTCTCCAACAGCAACAGACCGCTTTCCAAGACCAAAGGTTACAGATCTTCCCACGGTCAACCCTGATGCCACCAACAATTGATGGGCCTTGCAAAAGGCTGCGTGCAACTCACCTGACGCTTCCTTACCCATGATTCAGGGAATCTCTCATCTGGTTTGGATGAGATGATTCCACTGCGTCTCCCTTTGTCTCCCATTTTTCTTGATCTGTGCTGCAATTCGCCCATATTTCTCTTCTGCGTGCTGGGCTGAGATGAGTCCCTTTGCCCCTGTTCCATCCTTTTCACTCCTTTTCCACTATCTTTTTTCTGGATGCTGGGCTTTTGCCTCCCATCTCCTTGCATCTCTCTTCCGTGTGTGCTGAGTTGCCATCTCTCTGGATGGCCTGGTTCACGTCTCCATTTAAATTTAAATCGTTGTGGACTCTTCACGTGTTTGTTCTTCAGCCATCTTCAGCCTAAGTCCACTTGTTACCCTAAAGGGCTAAAGGGCTGAAGCGGACACACTACTGAGTTGTGAGCTTGCGAAGCGTGTGCGCGTTGTGCGTGTGTGTGCTTTTTGTGTCTTGTGTATTATGCGCTGGTTTGCTTTGTCTCCCTCGGTCCCACTTTGTCCCCTACTGGATGCCGGGCTGGCGTAATTTTGCTTTGTCCTGACTGCCCCACACCTCGTTCCCCTTTGTCTCCCACGGTTTTTGTTGGGTGATGGTGCAATGTTGCGGCATGGTTCGGCTTTGTTTTCTGTCTCCTTTTGGCCTCGGGTTCAGAGAGATGATTCAGCTTTGTCTTCCGGCTGGTTTGTGTCTGGTGCCGTTTGGGATGCGAGAAAAGCGAAGGCTCGTGATGCTTACTTGTGCGTTATCGTTTGGAGCGCGCAGCTAGAAATACCCAACCGCGTGGCGACATCGCCATCGTTTTTCTACGGCCGAGAAATCGAGCGAAATCTGCCGGATGCGTCCAGAAGAGTCGTGGGACATGGGGCCGAGCCCACAGCGTTTAAAGACGAGACATGCAGGCCTGCGCGTGATCGTAAAGAAGGATCGCGCCGCTAGTTTTGACGAAACCAAGAAGGCAACGGGAAATAAAGCAGAATCATGTCACCCCAGCAGCCAAAAAAACTCCACTGGAGATGGATGGAGACAAAACGGAAAAGAACCATGAGAAACAAATGGAAACGGGACAAAAGAAAAGGGAATGGGTGGGTGCGGGGTAGACGTGGGGTCTGTTTCAGGCAAGGTTAAAAGGGAAGGAGTTCACGGTGCAAAGACCAAGTGACTGCTCAGCTGCGAAGCTGCTTGAACTGCGAGTTGCGCGCCCCACCCAAGAAACTTGTGATTTTGATCAAACTTATTGGTTTCGTGCGCTCGCGTCATTGCCGTTTGCCGGTGTGCCATGTAGAGTTTGAGTGATGTGAGCAAGACCTTCCCCCAGTCGTTGGTAGCAACATGTAGCAACGTTGTACAGACACATAGAGACGAGGAGGTGCTACCTGCTACCTTGAGTGCAAGTGACGGGACATTTTCCGAGGACATGTCAATGTCTCGGATCCTTTTGGATCGCTGCCTCGAAGAGGCAGTGGGGCGAGGTGTTGATGTGTCCAGCGCCTACGAACCATGGCTGCCGGTGGATTTGTTCCAGACGCTGCTGGTTGACATTCACGAGCACACAGGCTGCACCTGGCTCTCAGCCATCGATGCTCGGCCGCTTTGGTTTGTTTCACGGCTTCAGGAGGTCAGGAGGATTTTTCGTGCGTTCAGCTGTGACTTTCTGAGAACAGGTTGATTTGGTTTTGTCGCAGACGTGTCGATTAAGATTTTGACTTTTCAGGCGGAACGTTCAAGCCTTTTCACTTCTTGATTGTTTGTGCGTTTTGTTCACTGAGGTTTCCTGGCCCGCAAATTGCCGCGTTTTTTTGGTCTTCAAAAGCATTGTGCGAACATATGGTCGAGCGCAAAGGACAACTGGAAGAGCGCACGAGAAGGCCGAATGCGCGTGACTAAGAAACTCGCCACTCGCTGGTAAAACGTCATGCCCTTGCCAACAGAAACACGCCGCCGCACCGTCCGTAGTGATATGTGCGCACACATATGGGGAGATGAGCGATTGCATGAGACGCATGTCCAAACGCGCGTGACAGGAGCGCTGAAGAAATGACGGAGTTCACAATACGGAAGAGCAACCGCGAGAGAGCGGCACATGTGCAAGCGCAATACGGCGCTCGAACTGCAGCGCCTGGCACGAAGTCTACACTGCGGGTGCTGTGCTTTGCACATGCCGAGCACTGCCAAGACCACTTTGAACGGCGCTTTGGTGCAGTTCCTTCGGGACCAACCCAAATCGCTAGCAGTGTAGTCATGCTGAAGCGCAAACCGTACTTACGGTATTTTTTGGGGCGGTGGATTGGATTTGCTTTTATGCTAAGTCCCAAGAATGGGCATTTTCGAGCGCAGCGTGCCACACTTGCTGCTGCTCCTGTTTCTGCTGCTTATGGTCTGCTGGTCTGCTTTGGGGCTGGCTACCTTGCATTCACCCTTTGCTGACTGGGCGCTCTAAACAAAGGCGTCCTTGCTCCTAAAAGCAAGGCCAGGAGCCCCTAGTAGCGTCCTTGCTCCTAGTAGCGATGCCAGGAGCCCCTAGTAGCTTCTTGTTACTACTAGTAAGGCACTTGTTACTAGAAGCGATGCACTTGTTCCTAGTAGCGTCCTTGCTCCTAGTTGAGGTCTGCACCTGCGTGGCAATTCGGACCCTCTTGTTGCCCGTGAGCGTCGCATCCATCCGTGGCTCCCGAGAGAAGGCGGTCCTCCAGCCGCAGTATGAAAACCTCATGCAGAAGCAGAAGGCGCCTTGCCCAGCTTTCGGTACGACCGAAATAGGTTTCAAATGGTATCGGACTTGGTAGTGCTGGTCTCTTTTCTTTACGGTTCCGATTCCAACCATTCGATTGAATTTCCAACGTGTGAGTGCAACCTCCAATAAACCTAGCAAGCATTTCGTCACGATTGCCATGGGCTTTGCTTTCTTTCCTCGGCATCTGGCGCAACACTTTTTGTATGGTGCTCCCAGAATCCACCTAATTACTGTTTCTGGTGCGTGGGTAGGTCGGTGGGTGTGCCACACCCTGTCCCCTAGGCAAGGGGACCGCTGATAGCTGGCAGCCAGACGTGCATTTCTTATCCGAGCTGTGACGTGCAAACCGAAAGAAACAAGCTCGTTGCCATAGCTTCTTGTTACTACTAGTAAGGCACTTGTTACTAGTAGCGAACCTCGTTTCCACGGTGGGAAAGTGAGAACCAAGTTCTCTGTGTGATCTTGTTTATGGGGGCTAAAAACAAACAAGGATTACAGGATTTTCAATGGTTTCCTGAGAAAATCACCGTGAATTTGTCGCACCTCACACCTTCCTCCATCACGCCGCCCCCGCTGCCCAGTCCCAAGCTCCCCACACCCACTCCGCCACCATCTCGCTTTCCAAAGAGAGAGATCAAAGGAGAACCACGCTCGCCACCAATCCATTGCCACTCTGTCACACTCGCCTCATTTGTGCACATACCGTTTCACACATCCCACACCACAACCGGCAATACACCTTTCGACGCCCACCCCGCACCTCTGAATAGACATTTTCAAGACACCGACGTCTGGAGATAGAAGCACACCAACATAGATCTACAGAAACTTCAAGCACATATCAAGCACATAGATTCAGTTTACTCCCTCGCCAGTTGCACATCGTGCCCAAACATTCAAGCAACTCCAACTCGCAACGCATCCAACAAGCTGACCACATGTTTGAGGCTATTCAACCACCGCTTTTCACCGGAGGTCTCACCACTTTGCACCTCTAGTGTCCGGACTGCCAGCAACAACAACGTCACCCAAGACTGCGATCCCGCGCCCAACACTGGAACTGCAAACACCATCAACCGCCCAAACAGAGCTTCGCGCTGAACAAGAATCGCCACTTCGAGATAACGCGATTCCACGTCTAACATCCCAACCCCACAAACCCCACATTCCACCGAAGGATGAACTCCCATGAACTTCCACACCCACCTGGATAACACGTAGCTTGTTGTTTCTAGATCGGGATACCGCCCGCTTATGTTGAGACGAGTGGCACCTGGAGGATTTTGGAGCCGCTCCGGCCGTGCCATCCATCACGGATTAGTCTGGAAATCCGTGAAGAATTGTAATTAATAGCAAACATTGTTACTACTAGCGTGGCACTTGTTACTACTAGCGAGGCACTTGTAACTACTAGCAAAGGAATCTACTTCCTTCTCTGTTTTGTGGTTCTGGTCTCTCCTCCCGTAGCGAAATAAAAACAACATCGACATGGTGGGACTATGGATCGGTGGCGACAATATTGAGTTGCCCAGCAGCGCCAAGCGCTCTGTCTGTGCGATCCGAGTTGGCGGATTAGACCGCTACAGCATCACGCGGACACCAACACCTTACAATAGGACCTCATTCTCTCAGTCTGGACCACATCCGGGTCTGGCGGTATCTGTCGACGACTTCAAAAGCATGACCTATTCTCGCTCGGCATTCGCAACACTTTTTGGATGGCGCAATGTGCTACTGCAAGCCAAACTCGCTCATTCGCTTGCGGCCCTTAGCCTGTATTTCATCAACGCTCGCCAGATTCGTCTTCTCTACAGCGATGACTGCGTGATTTTTCTCAATTAACTTTATATTCCGCTATGCGTTTACCCTGTCCAGACCTCGGATCATTCTACCGGGCCCAATGTAAAAGCAGGGGGTTCCGTTCTTCACTTCTGCAGACATGCATTCGTCGCTCGTTCTTCACTTTAGAGCTTTTGCTATCTCTGCAATCTTTTTGATACTCCTCAGGCGGACCACGCTGCTTTTTGTGTCCATGTAGGCCTGTTTGGTTGCTTAGGCGTCTTCCGGGCCAGTGGCCTTTCTTAGCTCGTGTTTTTTCTTTGTGTGTGATGTGTGATGTGTGTGTCAAACCCCGTTCCAAGGGGCACTCACCTACTCTACTCTATTTTGCTGGATTCTACCTTGTACAGCAGCATGGGGGCAGTGATCCTTTCAGCAGCCACTGCCTAACAAAGACGCTGTTGATCGGATGTGATATTCGGAGAGTATTCCTTCCATGTTTTTGTGTTTGGACATGACATGTCTTTCCAAGCTCTTTGATGAACGTGCTACTCGAGAACGGTGGCCCAGAATCAGTGCGTGACCTGTTCCAGGAGCTACGGATTGATGGAGACCCTGAGAAGAACAGCAAGATCCAAAAGCAGATCCAACAGTTTACACAAAAGCATGGCAGATTGTTCATGATGCGACTAGACGGAAGAAGGTTTGAAATTGTAAGTTGTGGTGTTTGATTTTTTCTTCACCCCTCCCGCATTCTCCAGAAATTGCAAAGGAAGGGCACTTGGAACTTGATCTTCGTGCAGCTGCCGCTCTATATCACTGCGTTTGCAGCCCTTCGGGGTATGGCTGGACATCCGGACGGGATTGTGAACCAAAGCAGAAGTCACGAATGACACTGGCCAAACGAAAGACAAGATCTATACTAGATTTGAGAAACATGAGGCTTGCAAGATGCTGAAATCAAAAGTCACCCAGTCCTGCGAGCAGTCCAAACCTTAGCCTTGGTTTAGTCAGGACTTGTTTCGTGGCTTCGCCATGGAGTCGCCGCTGTGGCTCGAGAGCTTGGCTTTGGCGGACCCATGCTACGTCATGCCCATTCTCACCAGCGCCATCATGTTACCCAGCAGAAAGATGTGGAGACACACATTTTTTCATGTGCAAACTCAAGTGCAACACGGTTGTGCAACGATTAAGTCGGCAGCTAAGAGGATCCGCCGTTCGCGGCGTCGTGCCGGAAAGCGCCAAAAGCACCTAGATCCGTAAGTAGTAAGTAGGTCTGGAAGGTCCTGTTCACACTTCCTTTCTCCCAAGCAAGTGAAGCCAGCCAGCTTTTCTGGCGCATAGATGTTGTTTCTCAAGCGAAGTACATGCGCTTGGCCTACAGGATGGCTGAGGAAAACATGCCAGCAGGGATCACTTCAGCAAACCTGCTCGTGCAACATATAGAGTCCAATGGGTTTGGATCCTCGGGCATTGTCGCAAGCAATAGAAACATTGGCAGGAAGCGATGTTCAGAAATATACACACCCTCACGCCGGAATATTTGGGACGCGTGAGCAACATGCTTGATATACCCCAGCTCAATGTCTGAAATGTTCAGATTTTATGTATTTGGTGGCCTGGTGAAGCCTGGCAGCCAGAGGTAAATAGAGGGACAGCACCATTTGGGAAGCATCGAGCCACAACATTTCACTTGTGGCTTCAGCCGCGGCAAGCCTGGCAAGTCGGGTGGGGGTTGTCAAAGCACTTCGTCAAAGAAGCTACTAGGAACAAGTGCATCGCTACTAGTAACAGGTGCCTTACTAATAATAACAAGAAGCTAGTAGAAACAAGAAGCTACTAGTTGCAAGTAAGCCCAGAGTTGAACAACTGGGATCCTCCTTGCAGCGCCTGTGAATTGTTGGCAATACGCCCAGCGTTTGGCGTTTTGCTGAAAAGATAGTATAGTACAACATATAAGAAGCAAACACGCTACTAGGGGCTCCTGGCTTTACTACTAGGAGCAAGAAGCTACGAATGGGGATCCTGGCATCGCTACTAGAAGCAAAGACGCTACAATGACATTTGCAGAAAAAGAGAACAACATTGGGCGTTCTGAGGCAAGTCGCTTTGCAAAGGCATTTGCTTCCGGTTTCACTTGGCTTGCCTGTAGGGTCTTACTTCTTTTATGCCTCACCTTTGCTTGTGCAAAGGATTTGGATTATTCTGGGCACAAGAGTAGCAATACTAAAGTATTTATTTGCGACCTCAGTCGTGAATGTATCGACCAAGGCTGTTTCAGGCACAGGCGTTAGAGAATTGTGATTGTTTTGTGTTCTTTCTGTTTCCTACTTAATTCTTGTCTGGTCGCGCCTGACTGACGTGTTTGGCACAAACTCACGGAAAACAATCCGCTTGCATTCGCATCATCCCTTCGCGAGCTCTCTCAAGAGACCGTGTTCTTTCGTTCCGTGTCACCCCCCCGGCACTAGTCTTTGCTGCGTGGCTATTCCCCTTGCATTTGCTGTCTGTCTGGTTTTGGCCCATGCCTAAATCAGCAAAACCAAAAAAGTTCAATTAAACACAAAAAAGTCTATGTCTCAGAACCTACCCCTCAGAGTATGAGAAAGGAAAGGGGTTTGATTGAAGCAGTCGCCCCTGACCTGTGAAGTGGCAATGGTCTCTGACTTTATCATCTCCTTTTCAACACTTTTTGTTGCAGATTGAGTAGCGAGTTTGATTTTGGAAATCGATTTCCTGTTCACGTGATATGCCTCTTTCTATGTAATTTTTTTTGTAATCCTTGCCCCTGTATAGACGGGGTTGGCGTGCATTATCAGTTGAATATACTAGGTTCAGCATAAACACACATAGTTTATGTTCTTGATATGCTCCTTTAATACCGTCAGATGTAGTTGTTAAACACTCAATTTGGTAGTTTGTGTTGTCCTTCTACGGCCAAACATCCATGTTCATGCTTGCACAGCAAGGCCTTTTTGGGTGGGTGAGCGCAGTAGCTACAACTGTGTTTGGGGTTGTTGTACTTATTCGTTTGATTTCATTTGATGATTAAGTAGCCTTGGTGATTGCGTAGTGACATTTGTTTTTATCATACACCTTTAATAAATCAATATTAATTCTAGCATTCTTCACCTTTGTAGTTCTGTGTTTGATTGCCCTGTCATCATTGAACTCATTGTCAGGTTCAAGGACATGTGCCGAAACTAACTTTTGTTGTTGTGTTTCAATGGGGTCTATTTCCCCGGTTCCTGTTGGAGAATTAGGTTAATATACTATATCTTAGCATTTTTGTAGTGGAGCATCGTTTTGATGACTTTTAGTAAGTTTATCATACATGAATGTTTGAAGACAACATTTGAAGCCAGCATTTGTTGTCCTTGTTTTTGATGTTGACTTTTTTAGTTTTGACCGTTTAGGTAGTTCAACACATATTTGCTTGTGTTGGGTCACGTTCATCAAAGTGGATTGTCATAGAAAATCATAGAAAGATAATGTTTGAATTTCAAAATTTGATGTTCTACCTTAATTCTTTAAACGCACTATTTGTTTGGCGCTGCCCTGAAGTCCTTCATTCAAATACAACTCTTGTGTCTGCCAGACCCCTTTATTCTAGAAGTTTATCATTTTGAAAAATGCGAAAAAACGCAAACAAAAAGCAATCACAAAAGCAAAAAAAGAGCAAAAAAGGCAATCACAAGTTGCAGCCAGAAAAACAAAAGCAATCATGAAAGCAAAAAGCAAACACAATTGCAAGCAAAAATGGAACAAGTCAGCCGGGCGTTCTGGCGCACTTTTTGGAAGGGTCCACGTTCTGGCGCGCTTTCTGGCGCACTTTTGAGGGAGGGTCCACTTTCTGGTGCACTTTTGGTCGCTTTTTTTCCTTTTTTCCGGCGCCGGGTAAAAAGTCGCACTTTTGGTCGCTTTTTTTTCCGCTCTTTTTTCGCGAGCGAACAAAATGCGACCAAAAGTACGACTTTTTACCCGGCGCCGCAAAAGAGGAAAAAAACGACCAAAAGTGCGACACTTGACCCGGCACCAGAAAAGACCCTTGTCCAGTACAAACCCTTCCCGGCCCCTGCAAACTACCCTCTGTGTTTTGCTTGTGCTTTTTTGGTTGCATTGTTTTGGCTTTTTGTTTGCTTCCTTGGTTGCTCTTTGTTTTGCTGGTGCGTTTTTTTTCTCCCCCTTTCTTTTGTTTTTTTCCCAAGTTTGTTGATTTCTAGAATAAAGCCACCTCTGGTGGACACAATGCTACTCATTGGTTATATTGTATTTTAACAAAACATGTGCACGCTCACAGCGTCCCGCTCCCAAAAAGAAGGGGCCCCGGGTTCGAACCCCACCGCAGTACAGGCAAGTGCCACGAGAAGAAGAACAACCAGAACAACGACAACAACAACAACATGAAGAAGAGACAAAAGCACCAACAAGTTATCCACAAACACCACATTCGAAGCCAGGAAAGGAAAACAAAACAAAACAATGGCAACACGAAGGTATCATGACCCACAAGAGAAAAGAACCTTCCTGCCGAAGGGACATGGAGACAGCAAGCACCGCAACAAGACCAGGAAGAGCAACAGCGCAAACATGGGTTGAAAAGAGCGAAACAATCGGACCCAAGACAGCATGAACAACAGGAAGAACAAAAGACTAGATGAGGAAGAGCGGCAACGACAGCAAAGCCAAAGACATGCGCGGAACGGCAAAAAGAAACAACCAGGAGACTACTTTCACCGCGTACTGAGCAACCAGAGCATATCAATGCATTTACATATGTTGCCACCTGCTGACTACAAGACCTAGCTGCACACAGCGTGCAACACCATCGTCAGAATCACATCCCGAGCCATTCTTCGCTAGCTTTCATCCCCTCCCCTCACGTTTCGTGGTTGGCTGACGAATGGAACTCAGCATGCTGCGTGCGCAAAGCTGGCTTGTGAAACACTGATGCGCAAGGCTCACCAACCAGGAGCTCTTTGGATCGGTTGACACAGAGGCGGCGGCGCCCACAGAGGTTGCAGATGGAAGTGGTCAGGTTGGACAAAGCACGATGCAAAAGTATCAGAAGATCATTGCACGTATTTCGGCGCTGCTGTTCATCCCATTTACACAAAGCTTTCCTGCAGGTGCGCGCAGGGAGGAAGTTGGTGACGTCATTTGCATCCTTGTTTTCGGTGTCACGTCCGTACGGGCCCCCGTGAATTTGCACGTTTTTGAAGCAGACAGGGTTCCAACAATCATTCAGGGGCGGGTGGGGGGGGGCAAATGACGTCGGTTCGTGTTTGGGTCGTTTCGTGTTTTCGTCGGTTCGTGGTTTCGTCGAGTCACGTGTTCGTCGGGCGTTGTTTTTTTTGAGTTTGGCAGCCGGATGTCAGACAAGAGCGCGCCGCAGACACCATCTTGGGCCGCTGGTTCGCGGGAGGACCCGATTCTCGGAGTAAAAGTAAAAGACATTTTTATGTGCTGAGATAGTGACCTCAGCCTTGCTTCGGAATGTTCGAGCAGGTTCTTTGATTGTTGTGTGCAGATGGAGCACTTGCATGGTCGGCCGCTGCTGCCAAGTACCCTTCGAAGCGCTTGGCTGTGAAACACGTCAAGCATGTGAAGAGTAATGGACTAAGAGGGCCAATGGTCAACTCGAAGCAGACTCAGATGATCTTTGGCACCCAGCAGCTAGATTGGCTGTGGTCGTGGATGAAGAAATTCATCTCGCCACAAAGCAAGAACCGGTCCAAAGGATTGGTGAACCCACGGCTGTGGAATAGAGTGTATCAGTGGGTGTATCGCAACCACATGCGAAACACCTGAGAGCGTGCCGACCACGGCTGAAAAAAGGCCACTATACAACTTTTTTTCGACTTTTGAAGCGCTCGAAACGCCATTTCGTATGGGCCTGCCCACACGAAGACGGGGGGCCCGTACGGACGTGAAACCTTGTTTTCCCCTAGCCAGATGCTACAAAGGTGGCTCGTTGTGGTGCCGTCCCCATTTTCGCACATGGTGGTCACTTTTCGTGGCAGGCGCAAGGGATCGGAGCGGTTTTACTTCGAAGTGCAGTTTTCGTGGCAGGGGCAGCGCTTTGGACATGGCGGTGGTCGTCGAGGCGCTCTGATTTCGTGACAGGTGCAATGAATCGTGACTTTTGGACATGTGGCTCGTTTGCAGACTTCGTGTGGCAGGCACAGCACTCTGTGAACCTCGACGTGTAGATTTCGTGGTAGGCGCGGCACTTTGTGAACCTCGATGTGCAGATTTCGTGGCATGCACAGCGCTTGGTGAACCTCGAAGTGCAGATTGCGTCGCAGGCGCAGCGCTTTGTGAACCTCGACGTGCAGATTTCGTGGTAGGCGCAGCGCTGGGTGAACCTCGAAGTGCAGATTGCGTCGCAGGCGCAGCGCTTTGGGAACCTCGACGTGCAGATTTCGTGGTAGGCGCAGCGCTGGGTGAACCTCGAAGTGCAGATTTTGCGGCGTGCGCAGCACCTGTGCTCTCGGACGCTCACTCTCTCACTCTTGCTTTTACTCTCACTCTCGCTCACTCGCACTCACACTCACACTCTCATTCTCACCCACGCTCACACTCACACCCTCACTCTCACTTTCACTCTCACTCTCACTCACACTCACACTCCACCACCACCACCACCATCACCACGTTCGCCACTTTCATCACCGCCATCACCTCTCTGGACCCCAATGCGTCTAGATCTCTAGACTTTCTGCTGCTGCACATCGAGACCTCACACACGCACACCGTTTGGGGTCTCTTGCCGGGATAATTGATTTTTCATTGTTTTTGGACCTCTCTTTACTTTGTTGTTTGCTATTTTCACGAAGCAATTCCCAAATTTGATGATGATTTGTTGATCGAAGAAGCCTTGGTGGAAAGTGCGAAAGGCCGTGAGCGAAAACTGCCCGTATCGACGGTTTTGCAAAGCGTCAATCTCCAAACTTGCGGGGCATGTATTTCGTTTCGTCAACCAGGCCTGGATGAAAGGGCTAAGTGATTTTCCACACATTCGCAGGCTGATTGTCGGTGGCGTTCCGTTGCTGCCGCGACAGTAGCTTCGTTCTGAGCGCTCCAGGGTTTTGGACGGCAAAACTTCCAACGCGCAATAGACAAAGCGAACGCTGGAAGTTCCTTTTTTTCACTTTTCGAGCCCCATGTCCCTACCTTTTTTTTGGGCAACGTTTCAGAGACCCAAATGCATCATACATATCTTTCAATGCGTTTTGATATACAGCCCGTTGCAGGTGTTTTCATTTTCATGTGCACCAACATGGTGACTGCTGCCGCTCAAAACCAAGTTCTCCGCCAGCCGGCTGTGGAGCGTTGGCTGGAGATCCCGCCCAGAGCGAAAAAGAAAGAGATTGGTGACGGTGACCATTCAAGTGAGACAGACTCAAGACGAACATTGGCTTTGCTGAACCTGAACCTTCGGAACGGGAGCCGCCGCTTAGCGACGCCAAGCGCTCGGAGCGCGGCCGCGAAACGGGACGGGAAAGACGATGCGGACGACGGCGGGAGGCAAATGCTCCCGACCTCGGAGAATTCCTCCGCAAGTCTGACGTCTTCGTCTCCTTCTTCGCGTTACACCGTGAAGCGGAAGCTTTAAAAGTGTGACGCTGCCAAGTGTTGAACTGAACGCGTCCCGGTGTTGGACTTTCATGCGCGAAAAAATCTCACATGCTGACAGCCCCTATAGCAAAGCGTCCACCAAGATCTGGTGCATTTCTTCCGTGTGTGTTGTTCTTTCTTTTCGCATATCGAATAATCGAGGACATTTCTTACACACAACAAGTGAAATACAGTGCAAAAGTTCCTACACAAAATTGCACAAACAAAAACAATATCCAAGCCAATTGTATGTTCCATCGACCACGAAGCGCTTAAGGAATGTTTGCCGATGGCCAAATTGTATCTTCAAGTGCTCAAGTGTTTGCGCTTGGTATAAACGTTTTTGCGCATGGTATATCCCGGCGAAGGCGCTCGGCAAACTGGGAAAAGAAACATCGTCACACTTAGACTCACAGTTCCGGTGAAGGAACATCAGTTTCACTGTGTCTCGGTGGTGAATACGTAGCGCTTGACTCGATGGAACCGCAGAGTGAAAAGTCAGCACCAGGCATGGTTTGAACAAATGTCGTTCGGCGGCAGGCAATCAGCGCAACAAAACCTGTGAAAAACCTGGTGAACCTGGGAAGCAGCCTGCAGAAGGGTTTAACAGTGGAGGCGTTGTGTTGTCGAGCGTGGTGATGTCACGCGCTGGGCCCCTGCCGGAAAAAGAATTGGTATGCAAACGGCTCTTGGATCTTCTTGGCGCTTACCTGGCTTGGTGTAGACGGCGCTTGAGCGCGCAGCGGCTCGGCAGCACGGCGGCGCATCACAGGTGAAAAGCCGTGTCTGGCGCACACTTGATCAAAAAGCTTCATTTACCACCAAAAAAGCCTCTAGCGACGAAGGCCGCTTTTTTTGGTTGAACTCGGTTATCAGCATTGTTTTTCGTTGCCCCATCATCCAGCCGGAGTAACAGCGGTCAGACTGACATGTCCCCCGTTCGTAGCGCCTGTAGTAGCTGCGTCTGTTGGGGTGATGGATGGTTGTGGTGCTGGTGCAGGGTTTGGTGGGACAGGAGTGGGTTGAGCGGCGGCTGGCTGAATGGGTAGTACAGTGCCAGTGCTTTAATCGGCTGGAGTCAAGGGTTGAGTGGGATGCATGTAGACTGGAACCTGGACCATTGGATTGGTTGGGGGCATGGACTGCTGTGGAGTGCCGTAAAAAGGTTGTTGTGGATAGCAAGGCTGCGGGTTTGGTGTTGGCTGCGGGTGTGATGGTGCGTGCGAAAAAGGTTGCCATTCGCTGTTGTCTGTGCTCTGCAGCTGCCAGCGGCTCGGGCGCAGCGGCTCTTGCCCGAAATCGAATTGAATGGAAATGAACTGCCATAAAACGTCGGTGGCTAGAAAACGTAGGATGAAACTGCGTGAAGCTTCTCTTGTCGCAACATTGTCATGACAAAAGTGAATTCATGAATGGAAGTAAAGGGTGAAACGTTCCAGTGCCAGTGAGTAATCAACGTGTGCTCGTCAGCATGAAAAGTAGTGATCCTAAAAAACAGCGGTTCAGTCAAATGACTTCCAATGCAAAACTGCCAATTCAGCGAAAGAAATGCGTGCATGGTTTCAGCGCCCCTTGAGGGGATCACACTGCACGCCCGAGTGGGAAGACGCAGCAGGTCACTTAGACTCAAAAAAGTTCTGGTGAAGGAACATCAATTTCTGACTCGATGGAACCGCAAAGTGAAAAGTCAGCACCAGGTATGGTTTGAACAAATGTCGTTCGGCGGCAGGCAATCAGCGCAACAAAACCTGTGAAAAACCTGGTGAACCTGGGAAGCAGCCTGCAGAAGGGTTTAACAGTGGAGGCGTTGTGTTGTCGAGCGTGGTGATGTCACGCGCTGGGCCCCTGCCGGAAAAAGAATTGGTATGCAAACGGAGTGCCCCTTGGAACGGGGTGTGGCAAACACACACACACACACACTCTCAAGAAATTGCACGCGCGATTCAAGCCTTGATAAAGAA